GCTTTTCCCAATCTAATTCTGGTCCAAAACGAGCCTCCCATGGTCGCACTTGAATGACGTACACCGGCGCTGCCAGGCTAAAGGCTGCGGTGTCGGAGTGCCGCGAACGTACCAATCCAGGGAGGGTTGAGGGGTTTGAAGGGTTTGACGGGTTTGAGGCGTTTGAGGGGTTTTGAGGCCTGGTAAACGACACAATCTATTTCCACCAAAAACTACTCCAAAACAGACTCAACTGCTCGCACATTCGGGGCCAAACGTTGCGTCTGGATCCCTAGAAAAAAAAACTAGTACATTCTGGCCCATCCGTACCCTGTGAACCTGAGCACCGGCACAGACCTTGCCACAAGAGATTCACAGGCACCGGCATCCATGGTGAGCACTCCCACACCTGTAATCCCTGGCGCGCTCCCCCTTTCTTCAGCCGGGGTCGGCGGATAGAGGAGCGCCTTCCGGTTTTCCAGTGCAAAAGTCTACTGTCCGCATTTGAATTCGTTTGGACACTTTCGGGGGCAGTCCTTGGACATTTTGCTGTGAACTGTGGTGTTGGTATGTGTTCATGTTACCTTGAATCTACTTCAAGCAGAGATCACGGGCAATTTACACAAGGTTGGTTGTTTGGTCCGTGGACAGGGTCGTAGTACGAGGACAATTACTTGGCACTTTCGGCTCAAAGACTGTGATTTACTCGCTCGGATGGGTAGTGGCGTCACCCATGGAACTACGACGCCGGTGCTTCCTTTCAGCTCGGAGCATCCCGAGCATGTAAAGAACTCTCCGGAGACCAGTCAACGAACCAGGTTCCGGCCATTGATGAGATCTGCTAGGCTGATTTCGAGACTCCGATTTTCAATACTTTCGAGAGTAACTGAAAGGACGAGTCGCCGGACCAGTAAAAGTGCAGCTTCAGCAGCTTCATCTTCAGATTCAAATGCCAGAGAACTAGGAGCGAATCATGTCAGATTGCAAGATCGAGCAGCTGGAAGCTCCCGATGGGGGTTGTTTTAAGGTGCGCACGGTGCTGTTGGCCAATATGGGCACCCGTAGTGGGCACCCGTGTGTTTGCACATTTGGATTGGGCCTTGATTCATGAAAGGCGCGTTTCGTGCGGAAAACGTGTAGACGATGATTTGCAAGGGGTCTAATTGTCCCACAGCAATCGCAAAGCGTTCATTTCTAGCGCACATTTTGACGCAGACAATTCCCACTGCTTTCACAAGGACAGTCCATCACCAGAGGGTACGAACGGGTAATTACGAACCCAACAGCCTAGTCTTTCAAACGTTCGCCGCTGCAAAGAGTGCAGCATTACAAAAAGCGGCAAAGTACGTTATTATGGGCCAGACCAGACCACTTATCTCACGAACATAAAGTTCCACAAAGCAAGCGCGACATCTTTCGCTTACAGCGAGTCAGGTCATGTGAAACTGCGGCTGCGTTGGACACATTCAGCGACACCCTAAGAGTCTCCCCTGGAACTGACCAAATCGCATGCTGAAAAGCAGCTTGCACGAACGAAACGCAAAACAGATCAAAACAAGGTGTCAACGATGGTCAACAGTACTAGTTACTATGGACCCCGCGTGTTTTTAGCGTTGTTGGACCTTCTAGAGACGTTGCCGTGACCATCAACAATCATGACCTTCTGATGGCTGGGGAGGTTGGGGGTTGGGTGTGATATGCGTTTTATGAACTGCATTTTTCATGTGCATCATCTTCATGATTGGAGTCACATGAGTCACCGTCAGAGCGAGAAAGAGGGAGAGAGAGATGAGTCAGACACTAATAGCAATGGCCTCCAACCTAATGGCACACTTTTTTAGACATCATATTTTGCCGTTCTTCCTTTTCTTGTTTTGTCTTTGTTTCTACTAGCGATGGCCTCCAACCTAAGAGCGACGGCCTCCAACCTATTATCGCACCTTGGTAAGCTCACCTGTCACGCGCTATGCTCACACATGTCGGATGCAACATTCCGGATCAAGGGCATAGAATACTTGCGCGATCTTGCGCGCGGGTGTGAAGGCAAGACGTTTCGATTGCTGCAGTTGCTTTCAGATTGCAGAACTTGGGCAGAATACTTCGTAGTGTAGTCCGGGGTGCCACGCGTGGCTTGAAGATTCTAGATATTCCAGATCGGCGAGCTGACAGCCTCCATTGCTGTCTTCGAACCCGTCTTCGGAGGGCATTTCTGGCGCAGGTGCCCCATGCTCAACCTGAAAGCTGCCCGTGAGCTGGCAGCCAAGGATCGTGCTTAAACTGATCACAAGCCCTTCAGCTTACAATGCTTATATACAGCTTCAGAAGGCTTCAAAAAACTGATGAACACTTGCCTCTTCAGAGAATCACTGCCTTGGAGTCCCAACAAAACATCGACCAGAGCCGCAACAAGTAGATGGTGTGACCCTGTCATGTCATGGGCTCTCGATATTTCTTTGAGTGCCAACAACCGCCTACTAAATCTCTTTGGGTCAGTCTTTGAGGAACGCAACCTTCAATCTTCGGCCGGTCCAACTTCTTGCCCACGAAGCTCCTAAACGCATCACATGGGGGCAAATGTCAGACCATTTTCGACTACTACGACTCGTCGGGTCGCGTCTCTTCTTCCGACCACAATTTCGCCGCGCCCGAAGGAGCTGGGCACATCGCCCCGGCGAGAAGACAGCACCGGCCGAAGCGCGAAGCGCAGTGCTGCGGGCAGCGTCAGTGTGAGCCTCAGCCGGGCGATGAAGTACTGCCTACTGGGACTAGGCGGTGCTTTTGGAGGCGGCGAACGTCGCCAGGTCGCACGGCGACGCTTCGGCCGTCCAGGTCCGCGCCACCGCGATGATGCCTTAGTTCTACGTGCCCAGTTCTCCGTGGGCGACCGGGTGGAGTACCGCAGTGACACCCACCGGCAGTGGTTGCCGGGGACGGTGTGAGACACTGAGTGTGTCGTGAGACACTGGAAGAATTATTGAGAAGTGAGATTGGTTTGCGTATGTTTGCGTGTTGCGTTTGGAGTTTTGAAGTGCACGACGAAAGGACATGCATGCAAATATGGCCCTTAAGACAAGTCAATGACAGCGATTGCAGTCTCGCAATTTGCCTCGTGGCATGTCGTACGTAGCATCGTCTCCAGGCAACGTATCCGAGAAAATGGGACCATCTACGATTTGGATGTGAAAAAAGGACTGACTGTATGACAAGCCAAGCACTCTTGGTGGACTAGTAGCTTCTTGTTCCTTGTATTATATAGTATTATTGTCCGGATGTTCATGAAGAACTTCGCACGCCTGACACACACACACATGTTGTTCCAAAAGGGATGACCTCCAACGTAATAGCAATGGGAGGTGATGGTTTTGGAGAATTTGATTCACCGGATCTCACAGCTCAACCGCCTGCCAGGAGCTCAAGCCAGCAAGCTGAGAAGGGCCTTGGATGATCCTCTCGACCGTCACTTGGTGCAGTTTGGGTGCAGCGTGGCACTAACGATGCCTTAAAAAGTTTGAAAGATCTTGTGGATGGCTGGAGTTAAGTTCTTTGCTTTGTGGACCGATCCAACTTGATTTGTGCTCATCTCTGTCGACTTCACGATTTTCGCACAGGTGAGGTGACGGCCAGGCCTTTCAGAGCAGAGCCCGTGACCGCGGTCTACAGGTGCGGCCCTTTTTCCTGAAAAGCAGGATCAACTGCTCCAAGACACACGTGACTCCAAAAAGCAAAACGTGTGGCAGAGACCAAGACGATGTGTTTTTGTTGAACAAGTTGACCATGGAGGTTTTAATACGTTATGTTCTTTAACGTATTAATTATGTTAATATATTCCGTTAAGTTATATTACATACTTCTAGAGAGAGAGAGAGAAAGGCCTATTTACACAGATATATATTCATATATATATATGTATAAACAGACTACATATATATATATACACATACACATACATATATGTTAGCAATATGTAGTAGGAATATATATATATAATATATTTATGTATATTTGTTTTAACCAATGCAGGCTTGTGAAGTCCTGACTTCCCTCGAGGCCTGAGCCTTCCGCTTCCTCCCCAAGGGAGTCCAAGGAGCCTCGTCGCCCCCGCGACCTGAGCACCGAGCGAAGATCCCCGAGAGATCGACGGAGCGAAGATCCCCTGGAGCGAGCCATGGAAAAGACCGAGGTTCAGGCGCCTTTTCTCGGCGCGAAGCACGCTTTTTGTTTGTTTTTTGCTTCCGAGGCTGGTTTGACACGTTGGGAGAGAAGCAGCTCTCACAAGAATCACAAGAAGGATCAAGAAGGGCTCCTCAATAGCTTTCTGACTTGGTGATACTTGGTCTTATGTTGTGTTCTGCGTTTCGTGACACCCAGCTTCAAATTGCTATATACTTCCATGCAATACATCGACACATGTTCCTGATTTCACTGTTTCAGCCCACCATTCACCAAGGGTGGATTTGTACCCCCATGCAACTCTCTGGTTTTTGCGTGCTTTCTGGAGGTTCGGCCATACTTGGATGCAGCTTGGCATCAACAGTGTCCGCGAGTAAGATTGTGCCTCGATAGGTGGGGTGTTTTCAGCTTGTATAGAGGCTTTTAGAGGCTCTTAAGTTGGACTGAGGGCATTCGGGCACCAGCAGTCCATGATGAAGACGAGATGAGAAAGAAGGCTCTCGGTGAACCGATAAGAGATGCAGTTTGGTTCAGCATTGGCCGTCACATCTAGCACTGTAAACCAAACACGCATGCATGTAATTATGACTCACTTGCTGTTGGGTTGCTGCACAATCCAGTTGATGCCACGCAGACAGAGCCAATGCCAAGTACGAAGGCCACATCTTCGGTTCAGAACCGACCGTCGCTTGGCACTCCCTCTCCCCTCCAGGACGGAGCAGTGGTGGGCTGGGCCGCCAACGCAGGCCGTGAGATGGCCTCACGGGCTGGTGCCGTCACAGTACGCAGGCCGACTCGGGAGAGGTCAGAGTCATAGGGGGTGGACTGGTGGATGTGTGATGGCAAACATTGGGACACTTAGATTGCTTAGGGGCGGCATATGTCCTTGCAAGAAAACGACATATGGGACGCGTGGGAACATGTGAATTGATCAAGCAAAAACTGGGCACCTGAACCCACTGTGAGCGTTTGCCATGGCGGCCTACATGGCCCTACCGGCCAGGATGGTCCAAACGACCAAGCTGCTCCTGCAGAACCTGGAAACAGCTCTGATGCTTCGTGCGGGCTTTTTGGCCAATTGCTATCACAGATGGCATTTGGAGGCCGAATTCATCAGCTAACCCAGGTGTGCACCGTGAATCACAGTGTCAAACGTATATAATATATAATATGTCATCCACTTCTTTTTAAAATAGTGCTCGCGTCTACAAGACGCAAATGGGCTGGTGAAGTCTTTTGCGCCACTTCCAGGTGCAATTTGCCAAGTTGGATGCTCATCACCGAGAGGCCTGCAATACAGCTGTGATGGTTCGTCCTCGCGGACGCGTTGGATGTTGCATGCCTGGCATGCGTTGCATACACGTTGCGTTGATGGCACCGACTGGCGCCACAGGAACTGGAACAGCATCATGATGCCTGGGCCGCGCATTTTAAGAATCACCAGCTGAGCTTCGAGGTCGGACTAGTAACAAGGGCATCGACTATTAGTAACAAGTGCATCGCTATTAGTCACAAGAAGCTACTAGTAACGGCGGCATGACTACTTAGTACCTAGAAGCTAGTGGGACTCGGCGAAGAAAGGACGAGTGAGACTGGCCTTGCAACCGACTCCGTTCGAAGGATCGGAATCGAGCGAAAGAACGATGGGTGACGTCCAAAACAGACTTGAAGCAGTAAGGGTCCAAAGGGTCCAAAGGGTCCTGGAGTTCTTTTTGATTTTGTGGATTTTGGCAGGAAGAGCTCGCGAAGCATGCGCGGCATCAAATGACCGCGAAGGAGAAGCGCCAGCAGCAGGCCATGCTCATTGACGCCTGGGCTCAATGGAAGTTGCTTTAGTTGCCAAACGCTGCGATAGCACTTTTTGAAGGGACGCTTGCCATATACCATAATATGCATCGCAAGTCGGATGGATGCAAGTCTTCAAGCAAAGCAACGCAGCTGAGCGTCTCTGACAGAGTCTCTGACAACTTGAGACTTGGGCAGGGCGTCCTGTCCAGCCCAGTGTGATTGGAATATAGTACGCCACACAGGTGGTACTCTTGGCCCGCTACCGAGGTGGATCAATGGGCCGAGGGTGATCGGAAAGGTCTCTTGCGGAGGGTCTTTCGCTCTTGGTCCCAGTACGCAATCCAAGACTCTTGGCAATGTTGAGACTTGTGGAAACTGAAGTGCCACAGACAGAATGATCCGCTGTTGAGGCTTCACGCCAAAGCTGGCTGACTAGGGAGTTCCAGAGAGAGGGGACATGAGTGAACTTGAGCTTGAGAAAAGCCAATGGATCGTTTCCTTCAAAGTTATCTACTGCTTCTTTGGTCTCTTGATCCGACTCAATCGCCCCCGGCCTGACTTAGGAGCGGTACCTGAAGCGCGCCGCAGCTAACGTTCACATGGCCGTGTTCGGCCACTTGTTCGTGGGGAATTTTGTTATACAATATAAACCTATCCCTTCAGGGAACCCTGCTTGTCAAAGTGCAAGAAGGTTGGAACACATGGTTTCCGACTACTCAGACTACTCACTGCTCATTTGGATGTTGAACCTGCATGCTAGGCTTCAATGTGTTAGCGTGTACCGAGGCTGGGTGGAGGGCAAAAGCAAGGGCTTGAAGCACAGCTGCTTCCTCTCGTGGCATCATCAAGCTCAAAGCGAATCCTTGGCGTCTCGCTGGAGAACACCGCGAGAGAGATGAGAGATGAGAGAGTTTTTGGAGAGGTGGGGCGGTTGACAAAGCTGGAAGGAACACTTGCACTGTCTTGGTGCGCCTTTGGCATCCTATGGCTTTAAGCTGAGGTTAGACAAAAGGAAGCAGAATTGGCTTCTGCCAAGGGCTCCTTTGAGAAAGACAAGGCCAGACAACTCTTGCTTACTTTGCGTTTGACTTCAGAGTTTATATATATATATATTGTTCCTTAGGACTTTTGACAGGATTTGCCATAAGGTCAAGGGTTTGATTTGATTAGGTAATTTTGCAGGACTTTTTGCAGGTCCCCCTAAGGAATCCGGTACTATACTCGCCGCGAAGAGTGAGCAACATCACCACGTGGTCCATTGGCCCAACGCGTCGTTTCTGCAGGCTGCTCAAGACGCTGCATTCATGCGAAAGCTTCAAGAGATCGAAAGCACCTTGGCCCGACAGACGCGAAAACATCGTATCGAAGTCATGACACAGGTATACACAGGTTGTGACCAAGCTTGCTGCATAGGGATGCATTATTTGATCCATGTCTTGCTGTAGACACGCGCGCTTTTGTTTAACATATACATTACATGTATATAACTAAAATATAGCATGTGCAATTCCCCCAAGGAATTTGGTGATTGTGAGGGCTTGGTTGTTGCATTTGGAGAGGGCTTTGGGAAGATCCCCACAAAGAACAAATTGACCATCGAAACGACCACAGCATTCAGGTAAGCGGAGAGACAACACCAGTGGTGTCGAAGCAGTGCTGGCGAGCTGGGCCAAAGGAAAGAGCAAGGCAACGGGGCGTGAGATGTTACATGAAATCTGATGTAAAAGGGTACAGAGATGATCAAAGATGAAAATAGAACGTTCAACATGAAGCCCGTTTGTTTGACTAGTTCCCTCTACCAACCGGAGCCCGTTTATGTCACCGAAGCCTGCAAAGCCTGTAGGGCTCGATGGCGCTGGTTTGGAAGCACTGGATCACTTGGTCCAAGGAGAAGCGGAACCGATGGGCAATCCATAGGAGAGGATGGAGTTGGGGATAAACCACATGGAATTTACATGATAAGTAATTATACGCGGTATTATTTATGACACTCTATGGTCCAATATGGTCCATATACTGGTCCATATTGTTCCATCAAGAAGTGCCGCGCAGACCCCAAAAAGAAGGTCTTTTGCGGGGGGGACGATGTGGGACGGCACCACTTATACACGTTGTGGCCCCAGATGATCACTCACCAGGCATATCCCAACTTCCGATCTCTCGTTCAACATCGTTCGCTTCCAATTGGAAGAGCCTGGAACAAGATAACAACAAGATCCCCCGCACAACCATATACGTCCTGGCCTCCACGCAGTCCTCCACGCCACTCCGCCGAGTCTCGACGTCTCGTCTCGTCTCTCCAGGACCGCGCGCGGCGCGACCGACGCCACGAAGGGATCCAACTGCAGCTGCGGCGCTGGGCGGAGGGCGATCGCCGCGGCCTCGTGCATGGAGCCGCCGGGGGGTGCAGAGAAGTGGGCCATAGAGACGGAGCAATCAGTTAATTCAGAACGAGTATTTACTGTATAAATTGGACTCTTGTTTCTACTAGCTTGTTACTACTAGTAAGGCACTTGTTACACTTGTTACTAGAAGCGATGCACTTGCTACTAGTAGCGAACGTGCAAGATCGTGCCCAAATTGATCAAATTGAAGACCATTTAGATACAAATTCAGCCAAGTGGTCCAATATACTGGTCCCCTGAGAGAGGAGGAAGCGAATTCTTCCATCATTTCTTCAGCCCACCCTCCTTTTCGACCTCCAAAACGCCACTCGGCGGAGGAGTTTGGCTGCGCTGGCGCCATGAGGCGCAGCAGCGGAGGACCGCCTTGCAGGCGCAGAAGGCCGTGGAGTCCGAGGCGCGGACGTTTGTTTTGAACGGGAGGCGCCCGGGGGAGACAGGTTGGGCTGTTTTAAGTGTTGGGTGAGTGGGTTGAAATCAAAGCTCAATCAAGTTGTTTGCAAGAATAAGCTGCATATAGTTGGGGTCCAAGTCAATGTGACCACGTGCGACCCCTTCGCGAGAGTCGCTTCGAAGCCTCCGAGTGAATTGCACGCGCGGCTGCGCTGCTTGGTTGAGGCGAAAAAACTCGAGAAGCTCCTGGACGATGAGAGGAGGTGAATCCCATCATGGCAGCTTGCTTGTTTTCCTCCACGAGTCATGTTCGCCTTCGGGTTGAACTAGGAACATCAGTGTGGCAGCGCCATAGATTTGTTACATAGATCGTTGGCATGCAAATGAACATGGCACAAGTTTCGTTCGATCTCGAAACCGGAATGCAGCATGTTCGCCTGCAAGACACTGCTCGTCTCGCATCCAGGAGGGCAGCAGCTTTGGAGAAGCAAAATGCCATGTCTGCGGAACAGCGGAAGGAAGCTGCCAAGAGGCTTCTTGTTTGGTGATGTGTAGTTTAGTTCTTTAGTGAACTTCATAGCAGATTGACTCTCCTTCAAGAGTTGATAAGCCGCTGTGTCGCGCATTGCGGTCGTCCAAGAGCATGGTATCCGAGCTTGCTTGTTTTGTGTTTGTTCTGTTTTTCGGCTGGTTCAGCCCGGATGTTCTGATTTGCTTGGCTGCAATTATTCCTCACCCTCGCCGGTCCATGTTTCCGTCTTCACGTGTGGACCAAGCTGAGGCTAATGCAGTATGTTGCGGCAAAATGGGAGTACGGTGACAAGAAGGGAACTCTCAAAGGCATCATGAAGGGTTGGTGCAGTTGCTCGTCGGCAAGGTTGCTGACATTTGTGTGAAAGGTTGCCAGCAACGAACTCGCAGTTGCTCCTGGTCATTGAAGGTGATAGAACGACTGTCGCGGGGGACACCGTCTCTTCACGGCGAAGGACGGCGAACATCATCGCCGGTCGCACTGAGGCTATGTGCTGGATGCCAAGCGCCACTCCAGACGTCGCCAAGGAGTCCATGATGCCGTGCTCAAATCTCTGCTTGGAGAGGCGCGGAAGTGCCGGACGATGCCAAGATGAGAGGGATGGTTCGTTCTGAGCAACAAATAGGACATGAGACCAGAAAGAAGGTGTACCAAGGAATGCTCGTTCCCCCAGATTGATATGCTACATTGAGATCAGGCTGATCAAGCATTTGCAGACCGAAGTTGTGCCGGTCAGTCTAAGCAGCCCAATCTTCAGTCTGAGCCGATGGTTCGTGAAAGGTTGATCGGGGCGTTCAAGTCACTAAGTCAAGAAAGCAGCATTGTGCGGAGGCCCGCGGTAGCGCCAAGCTCGCCTTGATGAATTGGCATAGCTTGACGAAGGATGAGAAACGCATGCGTCAGATGGAAGACGTGCGACCTGGTCGGCAGCGATCGGAACCAAATTACCCTATAGCTTGGTTCAACGAAACCCCTGTGGAGGCGTTTTTCTATACCACTGTCAAGGGAAGCTTCAAATGTATCTAAGCCTTTGTCAAGCCAAGGTCCGGTAGATATATGCCAAAAAGATCTGAAGCAAAAGCACTATCATCACAGAGCTTGCTCAAAATCCCACCTGTGTCGTAAACTTGTGGGTCATCCAGTGAAAAGTTATTCCAACATGATATTCCAACTGCTCACCCTCGTCTGGAATGATAACAGTAATAAGATTCTATGTGAAAGGGGTCTGGAATAAACAAACATTCCAGGCTATAGTCATGTGGTCCCCAAGCTAAGGCATAGGTCATAGGCCATGTTTTTCTCCTTTGACCTTTATTGGCGAAGCGTCTCTCTCGCCATGTTTGCAGTCCAAGGGAGCGGAAAGCCAATGAGAGGTTGGACAACTTCATGAAGGACGGGAAGTGTGCGGAATGTGCGGAATGTGGCAAGTGCCTCTGACCGCGGTGTTTTCATGGTTGGACCCTTCATGAGAACATCCTTCGAATTCGGAGGACAAAGATGCCGAGCACGAGAAGATGCTCCAGAAGGCTTACAACTCGGTCGATGCCATCAAGGCACCTTGACCTATTGACAGCTGTGCGGTCAATACACGTGGAAGATCTTGACATGAATGACCTTCATCCAGAAAAGGTCCAGGGAACCTGTCCAGGGTGTGATGTTGATTTTGAGTGCCATGGGGTGTCATTCTTCGTGGAGGGGGGCGTATATAGTGAGTCGTCTACGCGCCGCGAGGCCAGAGCTCATCATGCCACACAGATGGTCTTGAGAAGATGGTGCCCGGAATGCAAGTTGACACCTTCCAGTAAGAAAAAACACGCCATCTCTTGTCTTGTGTTTTGGCCAAGGATGGGTGGCGACCGAAAAGGGATCCTGTCACAGTTTTTCCAGGCAGGGAAAGGGTTCGAAAAGAGTCAAATGTGGTGTGTCAGGTTGCGGCACATGTGGGGGGTACAAGACATATTTCTTGCCATCAGATTCATAGTGACCGGCTTCATCAGATCATTGAGATCTATCATCTATCTATCCACTCGTGACTCGCTTCAGGACTGGCAAGAATACGTCAAGGTGAAGATGCACTCAGCAGCGCAAAAGCAGAGTGTGAAAGATTCGGTGATGCGATGCTGGGCGTTGAGGAGGCTTTTAGCATTTTTTGCCCACTAACTGCTAAAGCTTGGAAAGGATGTTGCCTGGGAACCCCGTTTTCTGCGGGCTTCACCTGTATAGCCAAGGATTTATTGAGGGTGACCAGCGTGGTTCTATGCACTCATGCAGCGTGGTTGCAATCACGACCCCTACATTGTGGTCGAATAGAATAGGGTGCATCATGTGCATCCCAAACCCTGATGAGATGAGTCAGGGACGTGTCATCTCATGATGTTTCCTGCAGGGAGTTGTGGAGTTTTGTTTTTCCGACTCATGACCTTCAGCTGGCTCAGGGGCCCAGACACGGGATAGGTAGATAGGTACGGTACACCTGCACGTTTTCTGGGCTGCTCAGGTTATCTGGGATGGATGAACTACGTGAAGTTTGAATTGAAGCATCATCGTTTGGCCCAACAGCAGCAGAAAAAACTAGAGGCGCTTGTGAGTCTATGAGTTTCAAGTCATTGTCGAACAATGAGACCGTGAAGAATGGCCTCAACACGTTTCTAGTCAAGCTTGGACAACAATATAACTCCATGTTAGATGTTTGGGACGATTTATGATATTTATGTTCTCGTTGAGTGGATTTTCCACGTCTTTGGTCACAGGACCTTGAGATGCAAATGTCCAAAATGCAGCAGAAGCGCGAACACCAGATGATGAGGCGCTTGTGTTTGCCAACGGGCGTCGGTTTTCCCACATGTGTAGCGCATTTTTGCTTTGACAACTTGATGGTGCTGTGGTGCTGGTGTTGGCAACATTGGTTTGACTTCATCTCTGTTGTTGGTGAGCACTGTTGAGAGCTGGTGTGGATGTTGACGGGACTTTGTTCCGCAGGTGTGCTGAAGCTTTTGCCGGTAAAGGGAGCGTGCTCAAAGGAATGGTTCTTCGACAGTGGCATGAGCAGAGTGTGGGCCACTAGCTCAGTCGCTTCTCGTTTTCGGTTGCCCATGGCCCAATATAGCCCACATAGTAGCCCACATGTGCCCAACTGCCAGCCGCGTTCCGACATCACATCCTGACCATCGGCCGTTTCCAGCAACACCTGCCTCGCTCGTGGTATCGCCTTCCTCGTCCATGGCAGTTCTAAGGGGAGAACGCAAAAATGGAAGCCGAGCGCGAACGGCTTGTGCATCTCAAGGAGCTCGAGACACAGAAGCAGCAAGCGGAAGAGCTTCGCTACTTGGCGCGGAGAGACTTTTTTGGGCGAAGAGGAGTGCAAATAGACAGGAGGGCCCTACTAGGGCCACTGTTTGTCTGGAGTGTTGGGAATTGGAATGGCTTTGGATGTTTCACACGCTCCCACACAAAACACAAAAAAGAAGAGAACACACAGAGATGAAAGATGTTGGTTCGCATTGTGTGAACTACAAATGGCAGGCTTTTCTGATTTGCTCAGCCAGATGCCAGGCCAAACTCTACTGGTAGGTTGGAGGCCAGCGCTATCAGGTTCCTTTCGCTGATTAGTTGCCCACAGTGCCTCCAAGGCAAAGAACGAATTGCTCGGGCGCTGGATGGCATGGGCTGTCGGCGCACTCGTGTAGTTCTGACCGAGCAGCCTGGTGTAGTTCTGACCGAGCGGTGCGTGTTTCCAGGGGAAGAGCCCAGACATCAGTGAGTTTAAACATGTTGTCCTTTTGACCGGACATGTAGGAAGGGGTGCCTTCCTAATGTTTGTGGACCATGCAGCCATGCATGTGATGCATAGTGTGATGTATTTTAATATGTGATTTTATGTGTTCTTTTTGGAAGTTTGGACCTGCCAATCACTGCATATGTCCCAGTCAAAAGTTTGGTCAAACGTCTCCATGGCATGTCGTTTCTTTGAGGTTCTTCTCCGGCTGGGCCGCTGTCTATGACAAGGCCAAGCTGGATCAGATGTACCGATTGGAACACAACGAGCAGATGCTGAAATATTCCCAGCACCTCGGTGGCACCGGACCAGCGGACCTGTGGCACCAGACCTGGCTTCCTTCCAACCTTCCGACCGCCACACGTCTTGCCGTTTGGCCGAAGCCAAGGTTCATGCTCGGGCAGAAGTTCCGTAAGGATGCCAAGGCGGGGCGAAGACGGAGGAGCTGCACAGTGGGCGCGGACGGACTGTGAGCAGTCCGTCTCCCAAAGGTGTGTGGAAGAGGTGTTGTACAAGGTTGATCAAGGTTGTACGTTTTTGTTTTTCCTCAACTTTCGACGTATATGAATGGGAAGGGGAGTGTCCCTGATTTCGATTGGCATTGCCAGCGGCAACTACCATTCGGATTCTCGGTTTGCTACAGCCTTCTATTTCGGCCGTGATTCAATTCAAGACACAGGCATGCACAGACCGTGTTCCTGGCACAGCGTTGAGGCCTTGCAGGCAGAGGTCTTCTCTGCTTGGCACATCCATGGCCGCTTCGAAGCCCACGAAGCGCATCACGAAACGCTGCAGGCCTCGTGTTGCGAAACGTCGACATCCTTGGACTCCGATGCCGTTCGATGCTGCTTGAGCCTGTCAGTACCGCCCGGCCGCTGTTAGGAACGCCTGGCTCATGCCAACTCCGATATCCAGCAGCTGGAGCATCATTGCGCAGACCTTCAGGAGAAAAAGGAACATGAAGAACTCAGTGAGCTAGTGTGCCACGGTAGTTACATGTAATTACTTTAAAAGGCTGGTGTGGGGTTTAGAGACGCGAGACCAAGCGTGAATGTGACCGATCTACTTTGTAGCAAAGCTAATATGCCATATGGCCATATGCTATACTTTGTAGTCTAAGATTCCTCCCTTTGATTCAAAAGAATCAGATCTTTTCGAACAAATCCATCTTTTGAGGATGAGCTGCAGATGTACTACCAGCAGATTCGGGATATCACCAACACTCTTCAAAAGGAGCTCCAAACCAAGGAGGAATTGGCCTCTGAACTTCGGGACGCCTATGAAAAGCTCCGCACGGCGAAGGTGGGTCGGTTGCTTCAAGAGAAGGAGGTTTGGTGTTGAACACTTGTAGTAGTTTGTCCTGATGGTTTCCTTCTTTTGTTGTGATTGTAGAATTGCCTGTGCAGTATTGCATATTTCAATGTATCTCATTGCGCTGTAATTATACAGTTGATTGATTATATAATCGAATGCGCAGCCACATTTGGACGGACTTGATGTTGTCCCCGTCTTTGAGTCTGGAGGCTCTAACACCGAACTGAGGGAAGCTTCTGTTTCGCTTCTTCACTTTCAACAGCTAGTCCAAAGTTGAACGTCTTTCTCCAACGACTTCCACCTCTATCCTGAACGGTGCCCTCTGGGCCCTCCAGGCGCCGCCCGGGGGCGACACCGGTCGCTCCGCCGGCAGCGAGCCGCGGCCCCGCGCGCCGGGCGCGGCGACGCCTCGGAGCCAGCGCACGCCGCGCGACCGGGAGCCGCTGGGGATACGGTATCAGGACCTGGACGAAGCAGTTGGGAAGAACATGGAAGAATGCACATAATTACATGTTTTGTTTGGACATGTCCAGGCATGGGAGGATCATGGAGGATCTGATAGATAGTGTTCCATTGTTTTGAGACATCTTTCTTCGAAATGCCCAGATTCTCTGAAGAATTGGAGGCGCTCGCTGCAACCGCTCCTGGCAGGATGGAGGCACTGCAGCCACAGCGCCGGTGTCGGCTCTCGGGCCGAACAAACGGGAAGCCTCTGCGATGTCCTCGGCGTCGACGGCACCCACGCTGCCACGCAGGATACCACGTGGCGAGGCTCGGAATCGAGAGGGGAGCCCCTACAGTAGTTTCTTGCTCCTAGTAGTAAGGCCAGGCCCCTAGTAGCGATGCGCTTGTTCCTAGTAGCTTCTTGCTCCTAGT